TTTTTAAATACGATTAGGGGATCGAAATTAAATTAAGGTTTTCGATTTGGGGCTTTCGTATTCTTTTGGTTTCGTTTTTGAGTAGATTAGGGTTTTCGATTAGGTTAGAAAATCGATTTAGGGTTTCTTTCCGAATTGGGGATCGATATGAAATTAGGGTTTTTGGTCGGATTCGAAGGGGATTTGGGATTCCGATATGGGGATTTTTTTGATTCTTATATGGGGATTTGATAGATTCCGTTTAGGGGATTTGATTGATTCCGATTACGGGTTTATGTTTGATTAAGGAGTAGTTGTTAGTTTATAAGAAAGATTAGGAGTTGTTGTTAGAGCATATGTTTGATTCCTGGAAGAGCTTATGTTAGAATCATGTTAGCTTATGGTTGTCTGATGTATACTTTTTCACACTATTGAAGGTTAGATAATGGATCCTAATTACGAGAGGAGATCTATGAAGGCGAATAAGGATCTCTACGATAACCTACATTTTTTTACAAACTCAATGCAAGGTATTCAAGAAAGGTGTGTATGTGGGGAACGCTTAGTGCACGAGAGAGCTCCAGCAGAAGTCTTTGACTACCTACCAGGGAATAGCTTCTTCACATGCAAGAAGTACAAAGTAAGTTTGAAACTTGCAATTATTCGTAACTAAATATTTAATCAGACTTGCTTATATTTCTGTCAGTCTAGGTTTGTTACAATATTTAATCAGACTTGTTTTATTTATGTAGGATGATGGAATGCATTACAGGCAGCCCTGGGTCTGTGCAGTCGAGGAAGAGCTAGGGATCTTGAAAACACGGCTGGAATCACTTGAAGAGCATAAATCCATGGTGGTAAAGCTGGAAGTCGAGAATCAGGAGCTGAAGACAGAGGTGGAGAAGCTCATAGCCCGAGTGTCTGAGCTTGAGTATGCAACATAAAGGTTAGTTGCGTTCTATCTTTCTACTGCATTGATTGGTCTTTAAAACTGGTAATTGCATTGACTTGATTGAAAACTTGAAAACTTTAGTTTAAAAACTTAACTTGAAAACTTTAGTTAAAACTACATTGATTGAAAACTGACTTGATTGGTCTTTAAAGCTCTATGTTCACTTTCGTAGGATGGTGGTTAGGATAGATTAGACATTAAATACATAATTCACTAAAGAATCCTAGTTAAATAGAGCCACAGATCAATAGAAACACCACAATTAAACGAACCAAAACCCATAAACTTGGCAAATGGCTTCGTATTCCCCCATATTTGTTAGTCTATTAACCAGCCAAACCGGAGACTCTAGCAGTCCAGGGTTTGTGAACCTGGACTCACCGGATTTTCCAGCCTTTAGCAGCCACAGTTAAGAAGCTGCAACTGTCAAGGAGAGGAGGAAATGGTCTCTGAAGGAGGATGTTACCCTGACCCAAGGGAGCTAAGTCAGTGCAAGCAAAGGCGGGGAAGACGACCTAGTCTGAAAATTTTGTGGTTGCTATGATGCGGCTTTGAGGGACCAATCAAGCGGTCAAAATGATAATGATGTGATGAAGAAAGCACTTGACACTTTCTGCAATGACTATGGCTGTAAGTTCACCGTAGAGCATGCTTAGAGAGAGCTCAGGCATGACCAGAAATGGAGCTCTGTGTATCATGGTAAGGATGGTGCTAAAGAGAAGCGGAAGAATGTTGGTAGTGCAGTTGAAGGCGAAGAGGAGGTTACTGGTGGTAGGCCTCCAGGTATCAAGGCTGCTAAAGCGGCTAAGAAAAAGAAATGTGGTCAAGAGGAGTCCTTAATAGAGTTAAAAACGGTGTTGGAGCTGAAAGATAAGCTAAACAAACAGAAATTGCTGGAGAAGTTACTTGAGAAGGCTGAGCCTCTTTCTGAGATGGAGATGTCCCTCAAGCTTAAACTGATGGCAGAAATGTTGCAATTAGGCATGAGTTAGTTTTCTATCCAGTGAGTTATTAGGTTTAGATAGTTCACTTGTTTGATTCACTTAAACTGATGTCATTTGTTCACTTGTTTATGCCATTTGCTAACTCATTTGATATCTTATGTCACAGGAGGAATAGAAGATCGTGGGAGCAGTGAAGAGACTGCAAGCTATGTTTTATGTATTTTAATGTCATGGGAACCTATCTCTTTTGTTTCTTTCTGTTGTACTAGGAACTTATGTCTTATGTCATTTAATGTCACGGGAACTTGGTCTTGTTGTAATATGAATCTGAACTTATCTCTATTTAAGCTTGGCACTTGTGGTAATCTATTTTCATGCTCCTCTTTTTTTACCGAAGTCTCTTTTTAAGTTTCAAACCTAAAATTTCCTTAAGTCACAAAGCTCAAAGCTCAAGCTTCCTTACGTTTCAAAGGCTCGGGTAAGAACAAATCGTTTAATGCAATGACTATTTCAAATTTCCTCAAGTCTCAAAGTTGTTAACATTTGTTAATGTCAAATACGATTCAGAACCTTTTCTTTTATATACTTGATCACATCCTCTGATTCGTATGAAATAAATATTTGTTTAGAGTTTTCGGTGCAACCAAATATTTTATACCAGTTTTTTTCTATTTTCTTCAATAATTTCTCTTAATAATTTGTTACTATTAAACTAGTCAATAAAAATTCTCCCACATTTCTATTTTGTGTTGGATTTGAGTTGGCTTCACGACTTTGAAACCTTTTTTAATTTTATTTTATGGGCATATTTTATTTGCCAAACATGTCATCCTCATTCATATTTCATTTCAAGTCGTTTAATCGACTCTGAAACCTTCACGTTTCAAATATGCAGGAGTATATTTCATTTGCCAAACATGTCATCCTCATCCAATGACAAAGAAGAAATTTTAGAAAAGACTTTTGAAGCTTAATTTGAACAACAAGTCGAAGTAATGTACAACAACATAGTCGAGTATCAACCTACATTGCCGACGAGACGAGCATACCTAGAAAGAAACTGTGAGGAAGGGCACACCCGTTTATGGAACGATTATTTCAATGCGGAGCTGACATATCCGTCTCACTATTTTAGGCGCCGCTTCCGAATGAACCGGGGATTATTCATGGGGATTGTTAATCGCCTCTCCAATGAAGCTCCTTATTTTCAACAAAGAAGAGATGCAGTAAGACGGCACAGGCTATTTTCACTACAAAAGTGTACTGCAGCAATTCGTATGTATGCTTATGGTTGTGCGGGTGACATGGTTGACGAATATCTCTGCATGGGTGAGTCCACTGCCTTGTTATGTTTGGAAAAATTTACTGAAGCATCATACATTTATATGGAGAAGAGTATCTACGAAGACCCACACCAGAGGATCTTCAACGACTACTTGATATCGGAGAGGTATGCGGTTTCCCTGGGATGATAGGAAGCATTGACTGTATGCATTGGGAGTGGAAAAATTGTCCACACTCTTGGAAAGGCCAGTACTGTTTTGGTTCTAGCAAGCCGACAATTGTCCTAGAGGCTGTAGCATCGCAAGATCTGTGGATATGGCACATGTTTTCGGACCGCCAGGTACCTTGAACGATATTAATGTCCTTAATCGGTCTCCGATTTTTGATGACATTTTACAATGTCAAGCTCCAAGACTTGAGTTCATCGTCAACGGTCACAAATACCATAGGGCATACTACCTCACCAAAGTTATATATCCAAAGTGGCCTACCTTTATCCAATCCATCTCTATTCCTCAGGGTCCTAAAGCGGAGTTATTTGCACAACGTCAAGAAGCAGCAAGAAAAGATGTCGAGCGTGCTTTTGGAGTCTTGCAAGCTCGTTTTGCAATTGTTAGAAACCCAACTTTTCTTTGGGACAAGGAAAAAATCAGCAACATTATCAGAGCATGTACCATACTACACAATATGATAGTGGAAGACGAATGTGATGGATACACTCAATACGATACATCTATATTCGTAGAAGGAGAAACAAGCAGAAGTTCAGAGGTGGATTTCTCGTTTTCTACAAACATGCCTTCAAATCTTGGTAATATGCTTGTCATTCGGAGTGAACTTCGCGACCAAATGATACATGAACGATTGAAGAACGATATAATTGAGAAAGTATTTGTAAATTTTGGTCATCAACAAGAATAATTATTATATGTTTAATATTTTTTTTTTCAATAAACATGTTTTTTTCAATTTTTTTTTCTAAGAACCCCACTTTGGAATTTACTAATGAACACCTAAATTTTCGAAGGTTCTTAACTTTATTTATTTAATTAAAATTAATTAAAAAATGCTATGAATCTCATTTAGGGAATCACCAATGGAGTTGTTCTAATGAATGAACAATCAAAATTAATATTTAATGATTATTAGTATATAAATTTCATTCTGCGTATGTGAAGGGATAATCCTGGTATGGTATAATTTGTAAAACTACTGATTTACAAGAATCATTTCAAAATAGTATGGGAACAAAACTTCAATCGATAAATTCATATATAGTGGTCTAAAGAATTTTTTAAGTCTATGTTTTCTAAAACAGTATCTAAGACTAAAATATAATATTTTGTTTTGAACTCATAAATTCTATTTAATTTATTTAAAATTCAGTATCTTATATTTTTCAAAGCAATCAGTAACAAATTAAGATAATCAGATACAATCATAAAATAAAAGGGAATTATATAGAATCCATTTTTCATTTACTTTTTTTTTTTGTTTACAACCTATTTTTTCATTTCCTTATTTTTTATCCAAGTATTATAAAAACACAATTCAGTGATAAAATAATTTTTAAAAATATTCATATAAATTTAAAGTTAAGATATTTTTTGAATAATATATTTTTGCCTCAAACAACACTTATTAAGAAGAAAAATGTAATTATTATCTTATTATATTTATAGAACTATATTTATATTATAATTTTATAAAATTATTTATATTTGCTTAATACATATCTAGTCAACACATATTAACTCTATATATACATGAAGATATATATATATATATATATAATATGTATGTATTATATTATTGTTATTATCATCATCGGAATTCTTTTACGGAGCGAAATATTTACACATACAGATCAGGAGGACAAACAAAGAGTTTTATCTTTAATAATTGAGTAACAAAGATGGCCCCAACGCCAGCAAAACTATGTATATTTATATATTCAAGAACAAGGACAGGAACAAAAGGTTCTTCAACATAACAACAACCCATATCAGCTAAATTCAGCAACAAAACCCCCTACAATATATTAAAATAAAATACTAAAGAAGAAGAAAAAAGTACATTAAGATTATTATCATGCTTTAAAGTCTTCAAGCTGAATTTAGCATATGTTCCCGTCCGTCTTGACAGCCACAACCCTCGCTCTCTTTAATCACCTATAGGTTATTAAAAACAAATTCAGCTTAGTTATTTATATATAATATTATTTTGGTGCAAATTATGTATATGTTTCTTTTTCTAAATAGAGCACATTATTTTATTTTATCTCTGTCAAAGAGCATGTTAATTTATGATATGTAATCCATTCTTCTAAGCCCTAAATCATTCTTGCTTTTGTAATTGGTCCCCACCAACACCATTGTTGCCTCTGCCTACCTTTGAAGAGTCACATTTTTCTTCCATATCTACTTTTTCCAAGTAATGATTCATTCTTTGATCATGACATACGAATTTTATTTCCTTATTTATTAGTATATTATTTTAAACGTTATTGATGAGTATCTTGATGCTAATAAAGAATCGTTTGATATACGTTCATCTTTACCTGAAACTGTTGCCCCCAAACGTTGGTGTCCAAAAATCGGCGGTTGTTTCATTAGCCACTGGAAAAGTGCTTGATACTGGGACGAGACATAGACCGTGTGCTCTTAATTCTTGATTCACATTTCCATCTTGATTCTTAACAGCTTTCTGCATGAATCCATACTCAATTAATACTTAATTAACCATAATGGCATGAACACTATCTAAAGTTGAAAAAAATTAATATTTAATTAAACATGATGGCATGAACACTATAAAGTTGAACAAAAAATCAAACATTAGATCTAGTAGTAATTAAACCTGATGTTGTTGTTGGATGGAAGAACCTTGTTTCATGTAAGGAGTGCTTAGAACCTGCATTTCACAGATTTTATTATGCTCAATATTTGATCATATCTTCCTATAAAAATTATTTAATCATTTCTAGGGTTTCTTGAATCAGAAATTTTTTTTAAGAGAGAATCACTTTTAACCAAAAAAAAAAAAGAGAGAGAATCACTATAAACGTACAGTGACTTGATCGTGAAGGAACTTGATGTACTCTATGGATTCCTGGAGAACAGATGCAGTATCTGTCTGCAAATTAGCCCAAATATGACAAGAAGAAACAAACGAGCTCAATACATCAACTTAACTTAAGAATAATAACAAACTTTGGTTTGTATATATAATAATCCAAATACATAAAATAAATACAAAATTCATTCACCTTTCCGAAAGGTGAAACTAGCTGTTGTAATGAAGTAATCTGGTCCCTTAGATTCTCTTTTCTCACCTGCTCAATTTACAATTCATTTTTATCTACCACGAAATTAATATAAGTTTATTTATGATTATGTACCTTAAAAGTTGGCAATGGTGAAGGCGTGGTAGTTCTCTGTTTCTTCGACGCGGATTCGTTATTCTTCGCTCTCTTTAAAGACTCGGTCTGGCCTTTAGGCTTATGATTCATTAACACACAAAAAAAAAACTTAATAAATTAACAACAACAAAAATTGTAGCAGCAAATTTTTACATATATGTGATTAGTTACCTTAGGTTTGTCCTCAAGACGAGTAGGTATTATCTGCGAAGTGGTTACAAAACTGTTACGCGGAGTGTTGTTTAAGTTAGTGGTTGATGAAGAACTCCAAAAGGGTCGAGAGTTTGTGTTGTTAGAGAAGTTGTTAATTATTCCAAAAGCATCTTGATGATGAGGACTTGTCTTATTACTATCCCAAGAGAGCTGAGGATCATTGATTGAGCAGCTAGTGGTAGAAAGGAACCTGTAGGGACTCGGTTCCGGATCGTAAAAGGTTTGTAACAAGCTCGAGGAAGAAGAAGAAGGTGATGAAGATGAAGAACAAGCTGAATTAAAAAGATAAGGTGAACTAGTTGTGGATAAGAACCCTTGGCCGTTATAGTGATCTTGTGAGCTCCTTATGAAGCTTGAGTTTAACTCTTCTTGTCTGAAAACGCAAAACAATAAACGAAAGTGATCTTGTGATTATTATTGAATATTATCAACTTCATAAGAAACTAAAAGATCAATTGAAATAAATTCAAATTAATGTTTGTTCTTAAGAAATTTACAATAGGGTTTGGTTCCAATCTGGAGAAGAGTTTGAGGAAAACCCTAGACCCATCATTTGCAACGTCGAGTCAATAGTCACGGTGCTTCCTCCACTATCGGAATCAGCCTCTCGCTGTCCGAAACAAGGCGACAAGAAATGATCCGAAGGAGACATAACGCTCCTGGGCGAGTTCCACCACGCGCCGCCTCCGCTGCCGCAAATTGCTGCCTTCGCTTGAAACTCAGCCATAAAAATGAAATCAGAAAGTTTTTAATATATATGCGTACTCCTGAGTCGCTATTACAAAGGTCAAGAGTTTAGATGTGTGTCAGTTATGTGTGATATGAAGAGTATTAATGTGAAAATTTTATAAGTGTTTTATGAGGGTGTGTATGTTTATATAGGCGAGTACGGGCAACTGTGTGGAAATTACCGGAATTTAGTTGACAATTGGAACAGTTTAGACCCACAAAAATATATACATCATCATAAACTAAAAATTAATTTTCTTTTGTAAAAAAGTAATCTTGATTTTTAGCAATTTCCGACCTACAAAATATATATATATATATATATATCACAAAACTCATAAATTTTCTTTTGTAGAAAGTATTCTTGATTGTTTTATTAATTTCTCAGGGTATATTCTTTTAGTTTCGAAAAAAATACAACAAGAAATTTGATACAAAAATAAAATATTTAACTTTTCAATGTATTATTTGATAGTAAATTGTAAAAAGATAATGGTGTCTATTGTATTGGTTAAAAATTATGTAAAATAGTTCACTATACAAAATAATAAATAAAATATTTAAAATATAATATCTATCTTATTAATATGTATGTGCAAATTCTAAACCTTATATTTTTTTGAAACAAATAGAGTATATTTTAGTGAAAAGAAAGATGTTATTTTTTGTCAACCAAAGATATTATTTTATTTTGTCAACCGAATTGAAGATGTTGTAGCTAGTAATAGAGTGTTTATTTTTTTGCACCAAAAAAAAACGCTCTATTATTACAACATCTTTAAACAACGTCTTTCTTTTTTTTTTTTTTTTTTGTATTGTTCTAAAACAACTGTATGGATGAGATTCGTTTCATTGCTACTTAATTTTTATAAGAATCGAATGATTATCCTCTTAATTTAATTAAATAAGTAATTAATTTTAGATTAGATAGGTGTTTGGTATTATGCAAGTTGCCCAAGAGGGATAATTTTCATACTTAAGCCGATGTATCTAACGGTAACTTAAGATTGATTGACATAAAAATTCTATGGTCCGAAAATAGAAGAATTGTCAAGGTTTTGATCAATTAGGTTTAGCAAAGAGACTCTTTCTAAAACAAAACAAAAAAGTTTAGCAAAGAGGTGCAAATGAACCATGGATTTTACTATAAATTAACTCTCAAACACAATGAGTATAAAATAAGATTCGTTCTTGTGGCTTGAGACTAAAGGGATAAATGGAATATGAATACGATCGTCGACCGATGCTAAGTTTTGATCTGTGTGTCACGTCACAGTTTCTGGACCTATTGTGTTTGTTACTTTCCTAATCTCTTTACACCAAACGGTCCATATACTTTTAAAGTAGCTTTTTTTCTAAATTTCGTAATTATTTTATTCTTCTTATAAATGTTATACGTCCATCAATTATTGCACTTTCTTAATTACAATTCATAGTTTTGTATTCTCCCTCTTCCTAATTGTTTTCATTAAAGCCCATTTTCTTTTTTTTTAGTATTATTATTATTATTATTATTATTATTATTATTATTATTATTATTATTTATGTTTGATGAGCCACATAAAGTTAAAGTTGGTTTAGACCAAAAAAAAAAAGGAGTTAAAAGTTGGTTTCGTTGTTAAATCTGATAACTGAATAGTATATAAGTTATTATCCTACCGCTCCATTTGAACCGGGCCGCACATAGATATTCCATTTGAAGTAAAAGAAATCATGTGCACAATATTCGTATATATATATCCGATCTATTTTAAATACATAATGTTATTGGCTCAAAAATTCAAATATAATTGTTTGTAAATTAGGGGTATTATTCAATCAGTGATTTCAAATCAATGATTAATGTTTTATAATCTATCAAATTTTAAAATTTTAAAAAAGTTTAAGTGGATGATTTTGAAATCTCTACAGTAGGCCTTAGATTTTCAATTCATTCATTTGTTCATAAAAATTCACAAGAGATGATTTGAAATCAATCCAAAATACAAACATTTTAAAATCATTAAAAGTTGAATAACACTAGATTTTAAATATTGGATTTAAATCATTCAATGAATAACACTAGATTTTAAAATAGAAATCAGAATCATCAATTGAATAACAGTGGATTGTGTTTAGATTTAAACTCTATTAAAATACATCAATGAATAACACCACCTTAATGTTTGAACCATGTACACTAAACGTAGTAGATGTGTCTAACAAAAATCTTATCACATATTTCTTTTCACAGAAGAACATTCGATCGCTTAATCAGTCCATGTTTAACCTTTTTTTTTTGTCACTGAGTCCATGTTTAACATTAAACTTAAAAATCAATCATTAATCTTGTTAGAATTCAACATTTTTAATAATTTTCAAAAAAAAAAACATTTGTAGTATCCATGAAAAAATCAAACTGAACTGATGTGTTCTTATTGGATAATGGTTATTGTAAGCGAAGACTAAGACTAAGATGTCGCAGTTAATCTAATGATCATATTGAAAGATCAAAATAGTAATAACTATTAATAATGATTATTGGTCTCTCTATGCGATGCAATGAATTGACTTACATATTTTCAAGTAAAGATAAACTTAGAGGTCGAAACTAATTGAGAGACAGTTAGGTCAGATCCATGCGACTAGTAAGACTTTACCAAGCAAATCAAATAATTATATTTTATATAAGTAAGAAAGTGTCGAAACCAATTTGATCAAGTTGTTTAACCCATCCGACCACCCGCCAAAAACGAAAGTCAATAACCGATAGGTTAAAAGTTAATCGAGAGAGTTGACTAAACTAGCTTCTTTTTTTTATTCTATAAACCCACTTGTTTAGTGTTGATATTGGATAAACACTAAACAGAACTACTAAATTAGGTTTTGAGCACTAGAATATGACACAACCATGAACCATCGTACGACACACAAAACTAGATCTGAAGAACCTTTTGTCAGTCCATCAGATTTCTTTCTAACGGTCTGGTCGATCCCATCTATACACCGTCACTTCTGGATACATGTACTAAATAATCTTTCTGTTAAAACTTAAAACTCATTTTCTTTTTCTATTTCATCAGGTTCCGGAACATAACCAATTTAGTGGTTTGTGTTCTACAAGAAGAAAAAAATAACATCTATGGAATTATCATTGTGAGCCAACGAATCCGCTTAACTAATCAAAATGGCATTAAATGTATATGTCAAATATAGACAATGCTAAAGTTGAAATTGATACATTAAGAAAATCAAGTTAAGGTGATATATAGTTGAGATGTTGCATCGACTAATATTTTCTGAAAATTGTACCACATTTTCTTGTCTATTGGAATGCAGTGCAAGTGTACATTTTTCGAACGTATGAGTAGAAATTGATAATGAAAAATGAGATTCATTCACCTGTTTTATAAAAACAAACTTAGTTGACGATGAATAGACCATTGATCCAAAATACGTATACAATACTGAATATACACAAATACAATCATATAGTACCACAATATATATGCCGAGAACAAAAATAAATAAAACACACGGCGAAATTTAGAAGTTGGTGAGGGAAAACGACAAGTAGTCAAAAAAGAAGGACCCACACGGCAAATATGAGTGGATACTTTGTTTGGCACAGATAGTCGGATGAGTGTCAGCGACTCATTCTTTTCTTCAAGCCTCAAATCATCATCTGGACTCTCTTAACAAATTTGCAATATTTCTTTTGTTGAACTTCAAATTTGCAATATTTCCTTCAAACTATTATTTATTTTCTCTATTTGCAAAATAATAGTTTCTTTGTTTTGTTTATGATAAACAATTTTTGTAACACGTAAGCCACGCAATGCCGTTTCTTGGACGCACGAGAGCTCACATGTCGCAAGTATGTATTATTTTCATGGTTAACGAGTTCTCTTCGACAAAGAGTCCTAGTATAATCACTACTATAAAAATGCGAAATAGACATGAAAATTTTCGTGTCTAAAATCATGTTTTCGTGACTACGGCCAATGACACAAAAAAATCACGCAATATTTTCTGTGTCTATACAGTCGTGATCAAATTAACCGTGACAAATTGTGACCAAAAATAATCACGTTTTAACGTATTGACTCGTTTATTTGTTAACAAATATGTTTAAGGGTTGATGTTCGGTTTGGTTCTAGTTTGTTTTTATTGGTTTTCAGTTTCAGTTCAGTTTAAGATTTTCAGTTTTTGAGTTAAGATATAAAAACCGTTCGGTTGTTTATGAAATCGAGTTTGGTTAGAGTGATTGAATATTTTGGTTTTCAGTTTGTTCTATATAATAACGTTAAGAATCCGATAAAATTTCATTTTTTTATTCTTGCTTGACTCATATTATTTAGGATAATTCTGAATCATTCCACTAAAATTACATTTTGAAAATTTTAAATAAAATATTCCCATACTATAAACCACCGATCTTTTACAATGGGAGTAATCTTTGGAAAGCGATTTTGATCTGCGTTTTAATAATTTTTTTAATTTTTTATTTGAGTTTTAATATTTATAATTTTGGGTTAATTTATTTTTAAATTTCCTAATATGTTTTTTTATCTTGTACTTTGATATATATATATATATATATATTTCAAATAATGAAATTGATTGTTGGTTTTTAAATAGTATTGATTATTTTTGTCTTTAATATATATATTATCTAATAGTTATAAATCTGAAAATAACTGATATATTATAAACTTCTAGTTTCATATTTTCCAAAATTTAAAACTGAACTAAATATTAATGTTGAAAAATAATATAGAAAAATGTTTTTAAAACATTAAATATGAAATAGAGGCATGAGAATATAGAGAATTTATGTGATACATAATGCTATACGTTTTTTATATATAGAAGGCATAATTGGCGGGTCCAAACTATAATTTACAAAATGTTTCAACAGCATCAAACATAATTTAGAGGCTAAAAAGATTTAAAGGCAAGAGTTTGCCTTTAAATCTTTTTAGCCTCTAAATTATGTTTGATGCTGTTGAAACATTTTGAAAATTGAGTGATTCTGATTTAGTTACCAAGTTTCAGTGGTTATCAAAAATATATTGAAAACTGAGTGATTCTGATTTTATTGTTATGATTCGATTTCA